ACCTGATTGATAGGCGAACCTCCACCCCTTCACTATGAAGTCTCAAATTGACAACAGATTATGTAACTACCACAATCATGTTACATGAAAGAAGCCAGGCACAGAAGACCACCATGTATTGTATGGTTTTGTTCATCTGACCTGTCTGGAACAGGAAAATCTAGACGCAGAAGCCCCAGGAATGGCTGCTAGCACCTGGGCAGGGCGCGGAGGAGTGGGGCGAGGGTGATGACTAAAGGGTAGAATTTCTTTTCGACGTGTGGAAAATGTTCTGATACAGCGGCATACTGTGACTGTTCCAAAGCCCTTGGGTGACACACTGGAAATGGTGAATTGTGCAGCATGTGAATTACCTCTCAAGAAGCTGTTAAAGAAGACAAGAGAATGGACCGGCATGGCATTTCTGAACCAAGCTGTAGAAATGATGAGCCTGTATGGTGGCTCGGAGGAGCCCTGGAGGCACACAGGTGAAGTGCTCAGGTCGGTGGTTCAAACCCAGCAGCCCCTCTGTGGGCGGAAGATGTGGGCGCAGCTTCTGGAAGGACAACAGTCTTCGGAGCCCTGTGGGACAGTTCCCCATGACACACGGGATCTCCGGGACTTACAATCAACTTAATGGCCATAGCTCTTTGAGGTTTGCTTGCTCGTGGGGAGCCATTGGTCAGTGGATGTGCATATCCCAATTCCCTTGACTTTTCCTTATTTGAAAGTTTTCACATTGTTGGGGTGGGGGTTGGGGACCTGCAGACAATTTCTTTTTTAATTAGAATTTTCTTAACCTCAAAGCAATTCAATGATCGTTCTCATGAACCGGTACGCTCTCTGTGTGGGATGCAGAAGGATTTTTCCCCCAGATTGCCCCCCCCCTCCAGATGCCAAACCTAAGATGTTGCATGCAACACATATTCAATGACTGTGCACTGGAGGTCAATGTCAGCTGCTTAAGGGTTATCAGCCAACTAGAGCAATCAGAATCTATAGTTAGTCCCATCCTAAATAGGGCCCACTCCCTTCTGATAAGAATAGTGAATTGTCTCCCTGAAGGAAAGCCCAGAGACAAGGTGGAGCCAACTCAAGGATGAACAAGGTTAGGCTGCCATCTTGAATCTAGGGTCTGCCCATCTTGTCACATGCGTACCCCTAGTCCCTCCCCTTCCTATTGCGTGTACACCCTGAGATAATTAAGGTTTATTGTGTCAACCTGATCAATAAACACATGTGGGATTGATTGAAGGGCGGAGAGATAAATGGCTCAGTGAGCCTCACCTGTCTAGTTCTCGGGTCTCTTGCTTTCTGATGGTCGGACCAGGGTGCAGCTGCCTTAGCCAGTTCCCTGCTTCAGCTGGCAAGGCTCACTTCCTGCAAGACATCCCTGAGTAGCTACATGGACCTACCCTGATGCAGCCCTGGGTGCTGGAGCAGCCGTGTGGAGACCCCTGCCAGTGCTGAGATGCTTACATGCTGATTCGGCTTTCCTCCTGCAGTTGGCATCATTTGGTGAGTTTTGTGAGATGGAGGAGGACTTTGTGGATTGGTGTTGGACATATGGGCTAATGTTGGACTTATGGCTTAGACATCACTGGGTTGGGATGCTTTAATATACACTTACCCTTTATATAAAACTCTCTCATATCCATGAGTTTATGTGGATTTGTTTCTATAGTCTACCCAGACTAACACCACCCCCTAGCTCATCCCCTTCCTGTCATGCGTATGCCTATTGTACTGCCCCTGCCTGTTACCGTGTGGTTACCTGTAATCAGAGGGGCTTGCACGCCCCCTAAGGCTATATAAGCTGTGATTAGAAATATACCTCCTCCTCCTCCTCCTCTCTCTCTCTGCGAGGACCTGGCTGCTGAGATCATGGCCGTCCCGGTGGTGAGCATGCTACCATGAAATGTGTCTAATTCCATTATCTTCTCTCCTACCTATCCCTCCTGTTCTCTATGCCTTTACTATGATCTTTATGTATTGTCACCATACAGGTGCACCTACGAATCCTGCGGTTGTTAGAGGCTGGTTTCCTCTACCATCTCTGAAGGTCGACGCCATGTTCATAGCCTCTCCTGCTCCACCTCCAGCACCTACATCAGGAATTCCATAGGGCTTCATTGAATTAATGGATCAAAGCATCAGCATGTGAGTGAATAGGTAGCTGGTAACAACTGTTGCCTGAACTCTAAAGTCAATAAAACTCTCAGTGCCCTGGAGGACAGGATAGAACTGCCCTTGTGAGTTTCTAAGACTGTAACTCTGTTTACCAGTACAGAAAGTCACCTCTTTGTCCCATGGTGTAGCGGGTGAGTTACAGTCTTGGAAACCAATAGGGCCAGTTCTACGCTGTCCTGTAGGGTCACAATGAGCCAGAAACAACTTGATGGCAGTGACATTTTTGGAATTAAGAACGTTTAAGTTCAGATTCACACTGTATTTAGGCTTGTATGTATGCCCTTTGCCTCCTACTTCTTTCCTCTATTTCTTTGCAGCTTCCTCCTGTCCCAATACCATGTTCAGCCTTCATTCTGGCTTC